GTATTGAATATTGTTGTTAGGGGTACACATAGCGCCTCTGCTCCCTCTCTCAATACCCATGGGGAGATGTTATCTGGCCCCATTGCCTTTGAGGTATCTAGCTCACTCAGAAGCCTCTTCACTTCTTCCTCGGTTGTGTGCACTGTGTCCAGCACTTGGTGGTGTGCTCCACCTCTCCGTCTTTCTGGAGTCCCTTCTGTCTCCTCTGTGAACACTTCTTTGAATCTCTTGAGTTCTTCACATACTTTACGGTCATTTCTTGTTGTCTCTCCTCCTTCCTTCCTTCCTTAGCCTGTGTGTGTGTGTGTGTGTGTGTGTGGTGTGTATATATACTCACCTATATGTGGTTGCAGGGATCGATTCACAGCTCCTGGCCCTGCCTCTTCGCTGGTCGCTACTAGGACCACTCTCTCCCGACTTCAAGAGCCATGTTGTACCTTTTCTTAAAGCCATGTATCGATCCCGCCTCTACCACTTCACTCTCCATATTACACTTCTTGACAACTCTAAGGCTGAAAAAATACTTCCTAACATCCCTACGACTCATCCGAGTTTTCAGCTTCTAGCTGTGGCCTCTTGTTCCTATTTTCCATCTCTGAAACATACTGTCCCTCTGCACCTTGTCAATTCCTCTCAGTATTTTGTACGTCATTATCATGTCCTCTACTATCGAGAGAGAGAGAGAGAGAGAGAGAGAGAGAGAGAGAGAGAGAGAGAGAGAGAGAGAGAGAGAGAGAGAGAGAGAGAGAGAGAGAGAGAGAGAGATTGCAGGGGTCGAGTCGCAGTTCCTGACCCCCGTTTCTTAAACTACCTCCAACGTCATTACAACTGTCTGGCGTTTTTGGTCCTTGATCATACCTGAAAAAAAGGTGCATAGAATTTGCATCCACATTCTCATCCAACTCTAACTATTCTACCTCCCTGATGCTTGAGTACTTTGTCAAATTTTATTTAAGGAATAAATACAAAACATTTTTTTGCAGTCTTCCATTACGTAGACTTAATCTAGGATGACCCAATAAACCCAAACAATGTGATTGATCTCTGCATTTAACACCTGCTCTTCACAATTCAAACATTATTCCTGCCTTCGTTGACAAACATTATTCCTGCCTTCGCTGACAAACATTATTCCTGCCTTCGCTGACAAACATTATTCTTACCTTCGTTGACAAACATTAGTCTTGCCTTCGTTGATAAACATTATTCCTGCCTTCGTTGACAAACATTAGTCTTGCCTTCGTTGATAAACATTATTCCTGCCTTCGTTGACAAACATTAGTCTTGCCTTCGTTGATAAACATTATTCCTGCCTTCGTTGACAAAATTACTCTTGCCTTCGTTGACAAACATTAGTCTTGCCTTCGTTGACAAACATTAGTCTTGCCTTCGTTGACAAACATTAGTCTTGCCTTCGTTGACAAACATTAGTCTTGCCTTCGTTGACAAACATTAGTCTTGCCTTCGTTGACAAACATTAGTCTTGCCTTCGTTGACGAACATTATTTTTACCTTCGTTGACAAACATTAGTCTTGCCTTCGTTGATAAACATTATTCCTGCCTTCGTTGACAAAATTACTCTTGCCTTCGTTGACAAACATTAGTCTTGCCTTCGTTGACAAACATTAGTCTTGCCTTCGTTGACAAACATTAGTCTTGCCTTCGTTGACAAACATTAGTCTTGCCTTCGTTGACGAACATTATTTTTACCTTCGTTGACAAACATTAGTCTTGCCTTCGTTGATAAACATTATTCCTGCCTTCGTTGACAAACATTATTCCTGCCTTCGTTGACAAACATTATTCCTGCCTTCGTTGACAAACATTATTCCTGCCTTCGTTGACAAACATTAGTCTTGCCTTCGTTGATAAACATTATTCCTGCCTTCGTTGACAAACATTATTCCTGCCTTCGTTGACAAACATTATTCCTGCCTTCGTTGACAAACATTAGTCTTGCCTTCGTTGACAAACATTAGTCTTGCCTTCGTTGACAAACATTATTCCTGCCTTCGTTGACAAACATTATTCCTGCCTTCGTTGACAAACAGCGCCAGCAAAGGCGCTTCCTGTGATCGTATTTGCTTGGACCTCCTTTCTGCAACACTGCAAGCTCATCGACTCCAGGTTGAGGGACTGATTACCTCATTCTCCTCCTCTCCTTACGCCTTCCTCTTTGTATTGGACTGATGAAGCCACTGTGTGGCGAAACGTTTCCTGAATAAAGATTCCCATATGCTGCATAAGTGTCTCAATCTTCAACTTGTCGGTTTTTCAAACCATTCATCACCACTGCAAGCTCATGATGATGTGCTGATTGCAACACGAAAGGCCTACAGCTATCATTCAACTCCTCCTGTGGTTGCTCTGCATATCTTCTGTATATTTATATCTTCCCGTATGTTCTTGTCAGGATTATTAGCAAAGACACAGAATTCTATACTTTCATGGACGGTCATCTATACATGTACTCAGAAGAATACTGATATTTGCAGCGCCCCACTCATCACCCTCGCCCATCCGGAGTTATCCTTCAAGCTTCCGCTGTCATCGGCCTTTCTTTTACTCCCTGGTCCACTATAGCACTAGCTTTTGCTTCTGCTTACGTTTCTAGTTTGTGGTTCAGTCTCTGGTGAGACTAGTCCACAATCCATATCAAATAAATTATTGAGGTCCAGGAAGTTAGTCTACCATCCTTGATACCGTGTGGCTTTCCACTGTCAGTTTCTTCATCCAGGTCAAGTTTTAACTCAAGAGTTAGGAGCGGTGGTATTCCTACCTCCAGTTCCAGTTGCTGCTGTGATGTGCACAGCATTACTCCTGTTGCTGAGCACCGCCAGCACGTCAACAGCAGGAGGGGGAGGGATGGGGGAGCCGTTCTCACCTCACAGCTACTGGTGTTCAGCTCCCCACCTGGCAGCTTAACCTCATGAGGGAGGGGGAAAAGAGTGACTTGCCACCCCTACGGCGCTCTGCAACAAGAATGATTATCCTTTAGCAAGAGTCGGGGGCCGCCTTTAACACGCGTTCTAGCTTCAGAGGATTACAATGTGTTGAGACGATTATCGACGCTCACTTTGTTGTCACCCACAACATCGTCACTGTCATCCATACATAACCTGTCATTGTCACCCAATACCCCCAGACCAGGCCTCCTCGTTGCTGTCCTGATTGATCAGGCTGTTAGTGCCCGCTGCTCGCAATTCAGCGTACGAACTACAGCCCGGCTGATCAGGAACTGATGAGAAATTTGAAGCGCTCCCTCTTGAAGACAGCCAAGAGTTTGTTGGTAATTCGTCTTCTGCATGAAGGGTGTTTGAAGAGTCGTGCCCCCATAACACTGAATACTCGCTCTGAATACTTCAGTGTGCCAAACCTTGTTTTCATACGTGATAATTTCGGTTTGCAGATTTGGAAGCTTTGTGCTCCGTGTACGCACGCGTTTAGAATGCGGTGTTGGAAACTCAAGGCCTGTGCGCTCATAACGGCATGTGATTGGAAGTGTTGCATGTATGAGCATGTTCATACCAATATGTGATCAAAAGGACTGCGCGCGTTCATACCAGCGTGTGGTCGGAAGCGCTGCAGTTTTTATGCTGTTGTATGAGAGCCATGTTCGGTGGGCAGGCCGTACTCTGGCGCTCGTAAATGGTGGGCGCGCCTGGCGTAAGTCAGGCCCCAACCACGCCTTCCCACGCCCACCCCAGCCCACGCCAGCTACCGTTTTACTGACCCGGCCCGCCCGTTCCCCCAGCGCCAGCGGCAACACAAGATAAACCAAGGTCTCAAGATCATCATACTGATGGTGAAGGTGTAGTGGAGATGGGGTTTGGGGAGAGGAGGGTTTAGGGACACGTGGGTTTAGGGTTCATCTATGGTTACCAGACTTATCAGAGCAAGAGGAATAGGAAGTAGTGGAGGAATATGAAAAAGTGGGGAAGTAGCAGGCGTTAAAGGTGGTGGTGGTGGTGGTAGAGATGTTTCCCAGGCCTAATCAGTGGTTGCACCAAGGAAGAGTCAACTCTCTTTATTCATAACGGCGTGTTGGCACGAATGCCCCGATGTCACACCATGCTCAAGGGAACCCCGACCCTCCTCACTCAACCAGTTATTTTAAACACGGGGCTTAAAAAAAAAAAAAAAAAAAAAAAAACTTTTAAACGCGAGCACTTACTTTTAACAGCGAAGACAGCTGGGCCAGTCAGAAAACAGGAAGGTTGACCTGATGACAGCGAGAAAGAGCCTGGTCTACCAGATGGTAGAAAAAAAATCCTACACAAGAAGTGGAAAAGTGACGAATATCAAAAATTAACAGATTTCCAAATGCAGAGCATAAGAATATATACTAATATAAAACATTTGTGAATAACATAAATAACCTAGCTATAACAGATTCGTAGTATTTCACAAAAATATGCAATGTCTTCGGTGTATGTATATATATGTATATATATATATTATATTTATATATATATATATTTATATATATATATTTTTATATATATATATTTTATATATATATATTTTATATATATATATTTTATATATATATATTTTATATATATATTTTATATATATATATATATATATATATATATATATATATATATATATATATATATATATATATATATATTATGGTAGGTAGGTATTATACGGAAAAGATGAGATTATCGTGAGTGTTTTAGCAGTCTAAGGGGAATTTCGTGTTTCATGTTTTGTAGGTTCCCAGAGAGGCAGAAGATATAGTTAATTGCTGCTCTTCACTGTATACATGGAGATCCAGCTACAAGCTTTCTTATGGTGTACAATGTATTACTTGGTGAGCTTATGGACAGTTTATGACCATATAACGTTTTCTTCGTTTATATGACATGATGAATACTAAGTATGTGAAGGTACCACACAAACTAACAACTCACTATAAACTGTTATGTACCTCACAGACTAATCACAATTTTCTTTTGCACCGCTCTCCCCCGTCCTGCACCACCTCCAGGTACACCAAATACCTGTACCCTTACGAGTGTGAGAAAACGAAGTTCTCCAACCCGGCGGAGCTGCAGTGTGCCATCGACAACAACAGGAGGGAAGGGCGCCGCTCCGCCTACGGTAGCTACTGTGACTCTCTACAGCCCCCACTTCTTAATCTCCAGTCACTGCACAACCTCCACAGCCCGCTCTCGCTCGCAGTACGACCTCACTTCAACGGCAACGGCACTACCTATCCCCTACCCCAGCCTGACTGTTTAATGGGTGAGTTTCCTTCTGTTTTGTTTATTTTCCATCCTTGAGCAGATGTAGCTGAGCACTCGGTGCTTTCCAGTGCCCACAAACCACTGCTTCCTCCTTGTTATCTACTTATTTGAAGAGTCAGAAATACATTCCAATGAGAGTTTTAAACTCAGAGTCCGAATCAAAACCAAAAAATGTTTTATTTAGAAATTTGAACCACTCTTAATTCGACATCTTTCATGTGGTGTTATGCAGCGTTGTATCTGGGATCAGCGGTGTGAATATTACACAGATAATAAGGAGCATAAAAATTAGAAGATTGTGTGTCCGTATGAAAGATATAATTTATTGGGCAAAGAAACTATTGAGATGGTTTTGTCATTAAGAACGAACCCAGTTTGTGGCTTTCATAAACTTTTTCAGGTAAAAGAATTTTCTGGTTAAAGAATCACGACCCTCTGTAGTGTAGCTGATAGTGTGATGGTTTTTCACACACACACACACACACACACACACACACACACACACACGTATGTCTTTCGTTCGAAAACAGTTTTCCTTCTTTACAAAGCTTACAGTAGAATGCCTTACACAAGTCAACAATTTTACGAGGCACTCGTCCACTGTAAAAACAAGCACTTCATTTGGTTGCAAATTAACCTGGTTATAGAGCACACACTTTGAATATGTTCCCTGAAGTTAAGAGGAAAGCATTTCTTGACACCGTAATTCTCAGACGTTACAGTTACTCGGCAGTCACAGCCAATCGGACGATGTTTACTAGTGTTATCTTACATTTTACATGGAGGGATGTTTTGCAGTTTTGAAATCGCGAGACCAAAGGGTCATTTAACGCTCGAAGCAATAAAACATTCTATATATAACAGAGAGAGAGAGAGAGAGAGAGAGAGAGAGGAGAGAGAGAGAGAGAGAGAGAGAGAGAGAGAGAGAGAAAATCTTTTCTCCCCTAACTGAAATTAAAAAAATATTCACGCAAACACTACATAAAACAAACATAATTAAATGCTCAATCATTAAAAAAAAAACCGCACCGACTGGTAATGTTAAACGAGTGTCTTAAAACTTCCTGGAGACTCCTACAGGTGCCCCGGGGATTATACAATGCCTGACAAATATGAGAAGACTAAAGCCATGGACGGAAAACTGAAATGTGTGCCGCACTCAACAGATCTCAGAAAGTCACACTGACGTGTGCAGGAGCAAGGGTAAGGTTAGGTTGGGTAAGGTTTGTCAGGAAACAGTAAAATGTTTAGGAATAATATGTGATTGAGGGGCTACAGATTTATAATCTGGTGATGTTTTACACTTTGGAGGAGGGGTATGATTTAGATGTAGAAGGTTGTGTAGACATAGAAACATGAGAGTATATGGAGGATGAAAAGTGTCTCCTGACGCGGTACTTAGTCATATGACCCACACCTGGAGCTTATGGTCATCTGACCGAGGCGCGCCCCCCTATCCTTAGTCTACAGAGTATTATCGCAAGCAGCAGCAGTTCTCGTGAGAAGGGGAGGCTAAGTATCCACAGTCTGTTATATCCTATATAATTGTTGCCTATTTTCACCACCACTACTACTGCACACAACCACCATCACACTCCGAGTCGAGAGAGGTTGGTAGCCAGATGAAAAGCGTGATGGTTGTGCAGATTTTGACTTGCACGGCCACATTCAGCAATATCACAATTACTCGTTGCTCCGTGATTACGTATGTAAATGATGAACCGACAGCGGCCATGATGGAGGAGTAGTGGGGAAGGAGGGATGCCCACGCAACAGTCGACATTCCTGTACCAACCTACGGGAGTGACAGCCGTATGCGAGGGGCGCTACAGCAGTGCCTTGTCCCGAAGCTGTGCCACCTTCCTCGCGGACCTCTTGTCAGAGCCACCCACGTTCAGTATCAATGTGAACGGCAGCCCCTGTTGTGAACGGCAGCCCCTGTTGTGAACGGTGGTCTCTGTTACAGTATCAATATGAATGATGGTCCTTCTTGCTTTATATATCAATGTGAACGGCGGCCCTTGTTGCTGCTAAGTTGAATGGCAGCCTCTGCTGTTATATTTGAACGGCAGCCCCTGTTGTTGTATGTGTGAACAACGGCCTCTGTGGACGACGGGTAGTGGTCGGTGGGCGGCGGGATGCCGTGATAGTCAACAACTATGCATGAAGAATCAACCACAATGTGCAAATGAAGTTTTTGCTTAATGGCATCAACCAGGCAATGATTGTAGTGAGGGAGGAGTGTGGCGAGTCTAGTAGGGAGGTGGGAATGAGGGATCACAGTGAGGAAGGAGTAAGAGGCGAGGCGTAGTAAGGTAGAAGAGGTGTACTGAGGGAGGCACTGTTATGAATGGGATGCAAGAGAATTGACCGTAATAAAATGCCTCGAAATTAGATCATGGATTACGAAGTTTGCTATAAGTGGCAGGGTCAGCCTTATTTCGGCCGTCAATACCCGGACGGGTCGATCATTGCATCGCCCATCAATGCCCGGACGGAACGATCACTGAATCGCCCGTCAGTACCCCGACGGAACGATCACTGCATCGCCCGTCAATGCCCGGACGGGACGAGCGTTGCTTCGCCACCTTTTATGAGTTTATTGCAGTTTCCCCGGCGAATTTAACTGGCGGGATAATAAAGCCATTTCCGAGAACACTCGTTGTTTAATTCCTCGTCGCCTCCCTCAAGTCCATTATATCCCGGGCGCTTCCATTGTCACACTGACTTGATTTTAATGGTGTGTTTTAGTGCTAGTCAATAAAGTAAGGGCTCAGCGAGGGCGGAAGAGGAAATGGAGGAAGAGGAGGCAGAGGACATTGCAAAAGGAGGAATAGAAAGACAAGAGGGAGGATATACATAAAAATGAGGGATTATGTGCAGAAGTGGTTAAAGTGTTTGGGAATGAAGAGGAAAGGATAGCAAGGGAAAGATGATCATTATTAAACCCATTGTGATCATACAGCTCCTGGAGGATCAGCAGTAGCAGAAGCAGTAAGAGCAGCAGCAGCAGGAAAGAAGCTATGGGGAAGCAAGTAGAGGAAATGGGATAGTGTGTTCACTGCCTGACTGTATAATGATTGTGAATGAGTGTAAGGCAGTCTTAGAGATTGTATTCTGTTTACGTGCCGCCGCCGCCGCCGCCCACACACCCTTACTAGTACCCAACACAGCTGCTTCCCACTTTTGCACATACACATGCGCTCCACACGTACATATTCACCCCTTTCTACACATGCTGCTCACATATCCACAAAGTTGCCCACTTTTCACTCGTGCTACCCACGTGTACTCAGGGAAATGATTCACCTATAGTACTTGTTATAATCAAGTATAACCTCAGACTGACAATATCTCCCTTCATTCTTCAGACCCTCACTCCATTACTCATTCCACTCTCCCTTACTTTCTCATTCTCAGCCTCCATTTACTTTCATCTCCCTTTCTCTTTCCGTCCTTTGCCCCGAGTGTCTCTTCCTCTCAGTCTCTTGTATTTTCCTTTCATTCTTCCTTCATTCCATTCATCTCTTTTCTTTGCTCTCTCCCTCCCGACCACAATAAGGAATTGATTAGCAAACTCTAATAAGATCTGACTCACGAGATCGTAATGACACGATTGCAAACAAATAAGATCTGATACTCGTCACCTCTCCTCCTTACTAACCTACATACTTATTGGTATATATTTAGAATCTAGATATATACCTCTCTCTCCCCTCACTCTCTCCCTCCATATATCCCTCACTACCCTAGGACACTTACGATTACACCACTTCCCTCCCTTATTTTTCCTGTATCCCATTCCTTTCCTCACCATCCTATTTCCCTGAACAGTGACACCATTCCTTACATAGTGTTGTGCGATGGGTGAAGGATTACAAGACTCAGGGTAAGTTGGGTGTCTGCTTGCCTTAGTGGAGAGTTGATGATCAGGGGAAAAGGGAAGAAGATGAGGTAGTAAGAATGGGTGGGAGGTAAGTTTAGGCACAGGTGCTCGTGTACAATTATCATACATAGTGTAAATTGATGTAAATGGTTTAAAAAAATCGAGAAGTTAAAGAATGTAATGCAAGTGCCTTATTCACAGTGCAAACTACCTAGAATAAGCAAAAAAAAAATAAAGTCAGACAGTGACTTATTTCCATTTGGATTTGGATCCTTGGTGGCAAGAATTGGTGGGATACCTTTGATGAGTTCAGTTTTTTCTACTCCCAGAGCCCGGCTATGGACCAGGATCATCTGGTGCTAGTCTGGTCAAGCAGGCTGTTGCCGCTGGCGGCCCGCCGCCCCACGAGAATGACCCACCTTGACAGTGGAATACAACCAACCACAATAATGCTGTGACGGACATTACGTGAATAATGAGACGGGCAATTACGTAGACCCCTTTTTTGTATGTGGGGCTGGTAAGTCGACGGTGTTTGAAGTCACAACACGCGATACTTCCCAGCACTCCCTATCCCCATCCCCCAGCGCTCGTTACCTCTCTCCCCAAGCAATACCTATTCCCTGCCTCACCCCCAGCACTTTCCGGCTCCTCCTCCCCACCTTCATCTCCCAAACACTCGCCACTCCTCCTTTCCTCGCTATCCACCCCTTTCCAAAGTCGCAAGCCTCTCTCTCCCTCCCACCTACATCCCCCAGCAATCCCAGAGAGGAGGAATGCAGACGTGCTGGAAACATGCTCAAAACTGATACCATTAACAACAAAAACTGAAATGGGAAAGACGCTTCCTCTATTAGCGAAGACAAAGTCACAGATCATCTCATAAGCAACACAGGTTGAAAAATAATATGTAAAGTAAAAGGCCACAAGTGCAACTAATGTGACATTTTATTGTGGCAACGTTTCGCTCTCCAGGAGCTTTGTCAAGCCGTTACAAACAATAGATGGACACAGATGGTATATGTAGTTGCACTTGTGTCCGTTTACTTTACACAGTCTGTAATTCTACCAACATACATACAATCTGAAAAATAATAGATAAAATTTCAAGA